CTATGGAATTCTGGAAATTCTGGGAACGGTAGATTGTTGTGGCATGAGAGCAAATAGGGATCACGGAAAGATCCTGGAAGGAAGAAGTTGATCACCTCTGCCTTATCTCAGATTCTTGGACACTCACCTGTCTGATGGGGTAAAGTGATCCAATGTGCTGGAGTCCACTGTATGTCAGCCAGTTGGTGATCTCCATGCGGTCCAACAGCCACTGGCGGCCACGGAAGTCACTGTGTTCACATAGTACCCAACTGTGCATAAAAATCAGCAAGGAGCATGAGAAAAGAAAAAGGAAAAAAAGGAAATGTGCACAGATCTTTGCACTAATTTGGGAATTGGTAGTTTCAACTGAGACATTTGAGGTAGTAACACATGATACATGTTCTCCTTTACTTACATGCCACCCTTCACCCTGACGGAGAGCACGTGGTTATTGAATCCTTCGGCCTGGAGGCTCCGTACTTCTGCATTGAGCTCAATCTCCTTCCCTTCGAAACACTCCAGTCCATGCAGGAAAATGGAAGGCTCAGAAAAGAACTAAGAGGGAAAAACAGACAGGAATGAAAGGCAGGGATGACACTTTGGACTTTATCACATGGGTGAAATCCCGTGCAGAAATGGGGTTTTAAATAGGGGGGGGGGGAACCTGCAAAAGTGGGTAGATTTTCAGATGACATTGATGTTAAACTGTTGTTAACCTGAACAGAAAGTAGTCAAAAGTCGCTTCTTTTTAGGATTTTCCAAAAGTAAAAAAGAGCTTCTTTTGACTACTTCCCATTCGGCTTAACCGCAGTTTAACAGTGATGTGTGTGAAAATCTACCCACTTTTGCGGGATTCCCCCACCTTTTAAATCCCATTTCTGCATGGGATTTCCCCGGTGTGATAAAGTCCATAGAGTTGGGAACAGGAAAACAGCAAAGGAGACTAATGGCAGGGAGGTTGCTTGACCAAAAAACACTATTCAGGGCAAGCGTCAGGTTGGTTATGATGGCAGGCTACTCAGATCCTACCATATGTTCAAATTCTAAAGAGATAAAAGTCTCTGCTTTTTTTTTCTTGTTGTTCAAATAAAAGATTTCTGAGATAATGTGATTTTTTAAAATCTGAATACATTTTAAAACATTTATTTTTAACATTTGTATTATGGCTCTTCCCTTCTGCATCTCATCCTCACAATAACCCCATGAGGAGAGCAGGTCACCAAAGAGCATCTACACTGTAGATATAATCTGATTTGATACCAATTTAACTGCCATGGCTTAATGCTATGACATTCTGGGACAAGCTGTTTGTTTTTAACATTTATATTATGGCTCTTCTCCTCCACATTTCATCCTCACAATAGCCCCAAGAGGCAGGGCAGGCTGAGGAAGAAAGGGTCACCAAATTACACTTCCCAGAATGCCAGAACATGGCAGTTAAAGTGGTGTCAAACTGGATTATTTCTGTAGTGCAGATGCAGCCCAAGTGAGCTTGGTGATCCAGTAGAAATCTGCACCTGGGTCTCCACTGTCTTGACTCTCATCCATACACATGCCCTGTTACTTCTAAAAATGTATAATTCAGCAGCCAACTTCACATCTTGTTGCAAGGTATCATATGTTTATTCTGCCTTGTGAACAGAAGTTTTTTCTTTGCTCTGTTCTGAATGTATTGTCAATGACCCTACCATGGATTTAATGGGGAATGTAATACTGCACTTCAGTTCTATGTATCATGTATGTGGTATATTCTATTACTGTGTGCACCACTTTGAAAAACTCCCTTCTCTGGAATTCTGAAATCCAATATACTCCAAAATCCAAAAGATAATGACACCTTTGCTTTCTGACAGTTCAATACACAAAATTATTAAAACTATTATGTATAATACTACCTTCAGGCTATGTGAATAAGGTATATATGACACATGCATGAATTGCCTGTTTAGACTTGGGTCCCGTCTCCAAGATATCTCATTACGTATATGCAAATATTCCAACATCTGAACAAAAATCTGAAATCCAAACCCCTTCTGGTCCCAAGTATTTTGGATAAGGAATTTTCAACTTGTATTTTGATCTAAGCATGTTTGTAATGTTTGCAAACAAATGAGTATTATGAAAAGACTTCTGAATAAGCACCCAGGCAGCACCTATGACAATGCAATATGACAGCAGTTGCAACTTACAATGGGGACTTTCTTTAGTGAACGAATGGCCGTGGTGAAGAGGCAACCCATGGAGGTCAATGTTGGATACTCGCCTTCAGAGAGGACGTGCTGCTCACCATCAAACTGAGGGCCATCATAGAGAATCCAGCTGAAAGGAGACAGAAAAGTGCATTCAAAGCTGCAAATCTGGTTCAAAAATCTTGATTCACTCTGCCCCCTTAAAGTCAAGACCAAAAATCCATTTGCTAAGCCCCAACTAGAATAGATCATTGACTCAGTGGGATTTACCAAAGTGATGAGTTAACATTGGACGTTATCACACGTGGGCCAGAAAGCAATAATAAAGTGGAAATGAGGCATTCCGAAAATAAACGGAAAATAAACCTTGATTTCGCAAATGGCTTTCACACGTAATTACCTTAATTGCGAAATTACAGTAAGCACATTTAACGTTCACACACAAGTGAGAAAAGCCTGTAAATGTACTAGAAATGAGCTTCTTGCACATGCGCAGATAGAGGAATGCTCACTGGAACCATGGGAAAAGCAGGGAAATGCTCCCAAATGCGCATTTGCTTTTCATATTACGGTAAATGCGAAATTACCTTAATTTCGCATTTGCATTTCCTCCAAACAACCGAATTTCAAAAGATCTCGGATGACACCAATTGATTTGCATCTCCCAGGCCAGCACAAAAACAACAACACAGTTGTCCTTCAATTTTTTCACTTCTCTGAATGTTGCATTAATTTCTCAGTGCAAGCAGTGTACCAAAAGTTACAGAGAGGGGAAAATGTATCTTAAGATAAAAGTTGTACAAATATCTGGATTTTAGGGTTAAAGGCATACAAGATGTGTAGTTTGTGAAGGAATTGTTTTAAATAATTCAAATTCCACTAGGGAAGGGTCTTGAACCTGCATTCCAGCGGTGGATGTGTCTAATGCCACAGAGTATGGATAAAGCAAAGTAGGAAGATCCAAATGTATTTCTTCTTACTCTGGACGTGTTTTGACCAAGCAAACAAAGCACAGTTCAATTTCATGCATACTAATTCAGAAGCTGTGCTTTGCATACCAGTGCAATAGCTTTTCAGATATGCAAAGCACAGCTAAGCTCCATGCATGTCTATATAATAATCCCCAAAAGAAACTAGACCTCAGTTCCATTCAAAAACTTCCCAGGGTGCAAAGCAGATCTCAGTTCCAAGTAACATCTTCTTAGGCTGCAAACCAGAATTTTATGGGCTGTACAGAGGCTGGCATCTTTCTTTGGATTGGAAAAAAGTCAGTTTTCCTCTACTATCTACAAAACTGTGCCTAACACTATTTGTTCAACTGAATGGAGAACCAAGAATACTCTTATCTTGATCATGAACTCAAAGGAAGGCATGATATCCCAAATCCTTAGAACCCGAATGCTGTGTTTTCCTTATCACATCATTCAGATGCTCTAATTGTGAAACATCATTACCTTCCTCCATTGACTCTGCAGGAGCGTGGGATGAAGTTCTCTGGAAGTAATGCTTGGTCTTCCTCAAAAGAGACGTAGTTCCCCAAAAAGTCTGGATCAGAGAAGAGTTGGATCTGGAGAACCAAAAGATCAGATATGAGCAAACTGGGGATATAACAAAGATTAAAATATTAGAGTTGGGATAGCTCGGAATATCCAAATCCCACAAACATACAATGTTTACTTATAGTCTCAAGTACTGTAAACTACAATTTCCAGGATTCTGTGGGAAAAGCCTTAACAATTAAAGATGACAGATGTGTACATACCTAGCTACAAGACTCCTCATCTGCCACAGAACTCTGTAGTACTCCCTACTCTTTTCTTATTAAAATGTGGATATATCCAACTTCTAAATGACAAGTGTCTCTTTAGTGCATTTTATTTATTACTCTCATAAAATGATTCATACCAACCCTGAGTCCTTGAAATGATGTGACTAAGAGAAATAATCTACAGAACCGAATTCATTAATGATCAATCCTGTTTGTATCTATTATAGTCAACTTGTCTTAATCATTAATCCAGCTGTGATCCATCTCCTAGCAGATCCAAACAAAACCAAAATTCTGTCCTGTTAGAAATGTTTTTTCTGGTGAGTATAAGAACAACCCTCATGCCTTGTTTTCAAATTCCAGTCCTTACCTTAGAAATAAAGTGTAGACTGTGCTCTCCAACCTGGAAGATAGAGGGGAGGGAGAAGACACAGATTGAGAGAGGTGATTTATAATATAATTTTAATATATGGTTAGAGAATTGTGTAATCTATATTTAACCAGATGATCCTGCCGATCACATAGTGAAAACTCCTAAATTAATTTTAGCTACACGATGTTGTAATGGCCATCAATTTAGGATTAGACAGCTACCTGGAGGATAAGACTATTACTCATAATGGCTGTATATCTGACCTTTAAGATTTTTGCAGCTTTGAACCTGGAGGTTTATCACTAAGACTGATTTTAAAAAAAATAAGGTGCTCCACTTTAACAGTCGTGGCTCCATCCTACAGAATCCTGGGATTTGTAGTTTTGTGAGGCACCAGCACTCTTTGGCAGAGAAGGCTAATGACCTTGTCAAACTAAAATTCCCAGGTTCCCATAGGATGGAGCTTACACACTGTAAACAACTTAGGGAATGTTCATTCACTGATAAGCAGTATAGAAATGTACTTGCTATTGCTATCGCTATGGAGCTACGACCCTTAAAGGTGATGTCAAACTGTATTATTTCTACAGTGTAGATGCACCCTGTGTCAGATCATTAGTCCAGCAAGTTCAATACTGAGAACTCTGAGTGACGGAGGGTTGCTGGCTGGAGTTTTTCCAATCCTACCTGGAGATGCCAGGAATTGAACCTAGGATCTTTTGCACGCAAAGCAAGTGTTCTGCCACTCAGATATGGGCTTCCCCTGAAAGATGATTCTAAATAAAGTGCTAATTTAAATAGGAGCATAGGAAATTCTCTTATCACACCAGATCAAACCACTTAGCCCAGTATTTTCAACACTGAGAACTCTTCTCCAGAGTTTCCAATGGGAGTTTTTCAAGCCCTCCCTAGAAATGCCAGAGATGAGTCAATGCAAGGCAAGTGACCTACCACTGAGCTGGTGGAAGCCTGTGTATGTAAGGTGCTAACAGTTGAGCATGAAGAGGGAATAGTGGAAAGGAATGCACTGGAGCTTTTACTCAGAAACAAATAAAGGGGTGAGATGCAAACTTGTATAGAATGTAAGACCAAAGGCTGCACCTCCAAACTGAAGAATTCTGGGGATGAGGGGTGTTGTGCATATAACTTTTGAATCATGGATAAATGAATGTGGAATTGTGGATTCTGACCTGGAGGATAGGCTGCACTGAGGAGATCTGGCAGTTGCTCGCTCCCCAGTCTTCACAGTTGCGGTAGACGCCTTTCTCCAGGATATACTGCTCCCCAGCAAAATTCTTGTCTTCATAGGCCACCCACCTGGCCGTGAGAACAAAATTGCGTCAACTTCCATCCTCATGTCCCAGTTCCCAAAGCACCCACAGCTTGCTGGACTGTTTTGCAAGTGAAACCATTTCTTCCCAACCTTGGAGCCCTACCAGCCCCAAAACATGAAATGTCTACCCACAGTTCTAGATGTCCATGGGCATAGCTCTGACTCTTAGTTCCCAGGTCAAGCCTTGCTCAACCTGTCACCCTCCAGATGTGTGAAATTACAACTCCACCCATTCCTAGTTGGCATTATGTACCTGTTGGCTTTGCCATCCATTGGGCCAGCTTGGTTGCAAGCCGTTCTTGTAGAACCCCTTGTCCTCTTATTCATGCAGTTGAATAAGATTTTGTGATTGCTTGTGAATATATTTCAATTTGTGAATTATTTTTCCAGTCTGCTTCTTGCAACTACCCTCCCAATCATGTATTCTTTCTTATTAACCAATTTTTCTTCACCATTCCCTGGGTGAAACTCACACTCCACTCAGAACATGGATGGACTGTGTCATGGTTCCATAACTGGCCAGCTCAACATCCGGCAGTGCTTCACTAAGCTCAATACTGGGACCTTCTTCAAAGTCCATGGCTTCAAATAGCACAAGGGCTGGGTTCAAGAAATCCTGCCCAGGGAAGAAACATCAAAATTAAACATAATAATAATAATAATAATAATAATAATAATAATAATAATAATTTATTTATATTTCCCGCCTCTCCCTACAGATCGAGGCAGGAGTACAAAGATAAAATGTACAAAATGTACAGTAGTACAATCAATTAAAAAAAAGAAAAACATAACAATAAAACCACAACAGTAATAAAAAGAACAATAATAAAAACAATAAACCCAACAGTAAAAACAATAAAATAACAGCAATAATTAATACAATAATAAAATTACAATACAGGTCTATGCTGCGAGTGATATGTTGTCGTGCAGCAGCACCCATCTTCTTGATCTGAATGTAGAAGGAGATGCTACCTTCAGAAAAACCATCATGCATTGACAGGAGGAAATTACAGATGTAAAAAACCATAGCAAAAGTCTCAGTATCGGTATGGATGTTGTTATTATTACAGTAATTTGTTTTTCTCCTTTCCATAGAAACCATTCTTGAGGTGGCTTACAGTTTAAACGTGTGGAGTTTAATTTAATTTAATTTAATTTGTAAAAAAAATGTCTACCAACAATGTCCCAAATCTAATTGTTAGTCCCATAGGGACTATTACTCCATAGGGAGTAATAAATAAATATAGCATACAGTACATAAAGATACATGCAACAAACAGAAATAACATAAACAGATGGTGCTGTGGTGTTGCATGCCTTCAAGTCATTTCTGACTTATGGTAACCCTATCATGGGGTTTTC